TTTCCTCATAGGGAAAGTGTTCCAACACTTTTATCATTCGAGTTGCCCTTTTCTGCACTTTGTCCAAAGCTACAATATCCTTTTTAAGGTGTGATGACCAGAACTGCACACAGTATTCCAAACGAGGTCGCACCATTGATTTATATAGGGGCATTATAGGGCCAGTTCTCCCAGATTAGAGTCCACGCACTTAACCACAACAAACTGCATCTGGACTAAAAGAAAAGGAATTATAGTTAAATTCCTTTTTTTTTTTTTTTGGTACCTTAAGGAAACCCTCACTTGCTGCTTCTACGTTCCCTGCTTGGTCTAGCTTGCCATCCAAAGTTTCTTTGGAATGCTTATCAGGAAAACCCTAACCTGAAATCCATTCAGGCTAGCCCAAAGCAATTTCCACGCGTAGGCCGTGTCTGAAGCGGTGAAACATTTCAAAACAGAAATCTTGACATTCGGGAGGGGTCCCAGCTCAGTGGCAGAGAAACGGCTTTGCTTGCAGAATGTCCCAGGGTGAATCCTTGCCATCCCCAGGTAAAGGTGAAAGTGTTGGGAAACACCTTTCTTTGCCCGAGAGCTGCTACCAGTCGGAACACACCGCACTGAGCTACGTGGATCAAAGGTCAAACTCCCTAGAAGGCAGCTTCTTACATGAATAGCAGATTTAAAGTACACACCTCGGTTAGCAATGACGGCGGCCGCTCGTCAGGATACACCCAACCGTCTCGGCATTTTTCTGTGGAATTGAGTTGAAGCGATTGAAGGCTCCCTTGCACAGGAGTAAACATACAGCATTCCTCAAGAGATCCATCGGGCTTTCTAGGAATGGTCAAGTTCAGCTCCTGCTCTTTGGTTAAGTTCAAGTCAAACCTGCGGATCCAGCTCGTGTTGCAATAGTGAGGGACTTCCGTGACAATGAACACTTGGCCGAACATGTGGAAGGGAGTGAGGGAATTCGGAATGCAGAGGAGGAACACCAGCAGTTTCTGGAACCTCCCAAATTCCCCGATCACCTTCAAGAGGTCTCCAAATTCCATCTTTCTGTCTTCACCGGTGACTGGCATCGATCTTTGTCACATCTGGGCCCTGGAATTAATGGTTAAACACAATTACAGCTGTAAAGAATCAAAAGAGGCAATAATTAATCAGGCTGTGTGTTCTATTAAACTTATGGGATCCCAACCTACCAACCATATTTTTTCCCTGCAAAATAATCCTTTGCTCCTTGAGCTAAAGCCCTTCTTTGTTTGACCACAGTGAAGCACCAGCCCAAAGAGTTGTCATTATATAAGCAAGAAAGGGCAGTATGTAACATTCCTAGGTTCCTGCTACAATACTTGCATCTTGTGAGCCACAAATCAGGTCAATAGCTGAAATAAAACAACGTGTGGCTTGCGGTTTTCATGACTTTTCCTAAGAATGACCTCTTCCTACCAACTATGTTCTTTCTGTGATGTTCTGATGGATTCAGTAGCGATCACATGTAAACAGGGCAACCATCTTCTATCTTTTGTGGATTCACTGGATAATTGTGTTAGAAAAGTGTTCAGCCTTGCATCCATTTATTTGGCAGTTCACTGACACTACAAGAAATACTTAGAGTCTTACTGGAACCAGAGGAATCCAACAGCCGGTGAATATCATGTGATAGTGTCGAACTCCTGTACTTCTTGGAGAAATGATGTGCATCGTATGTGAAGGGCGGGTTAAAAATCCAATCTCTTCTTCTTCTTCTTCTTCTGTGATGTTCTGATGGATTCAGTAGCGATCATGTGTAAACAGGGCAACCATCTTCTATCTTTTGTGGATTCAATGGATTATTGTGTTAGAAAAGTGTTCAGCCTTGCATCCATTTATTTGGCAGTTCACTGACACTACAAGAAATACTTAGAGTCTAACTGGAACCAGAGGAATCCAACAGTCGGTGAATATCATGTGATAGTGTCAAACTCTTGTACTTCTTGGAGAAATGATGCGCATCGTAATTCGGAGCAGTTTAACCAACTCTCCGTGCGCCGTCTGACCGCACCCAGTAATAGGTAGCCCAATTTATAGCAGTTTTTAAGCAGATGGCGATAGCTTGGGTTGGAGCATACCAATTTCTCCACTGGAGTAAAGAGGAGGATTTGGGGACCCATCTGAATATAATCCATGTGAGATAGAGGCTGCAGTGAGAAGGAGAATTGGGCAAGATCGAGTGGGAAAGCTGGTAGGATCCACCTCATTCTATGGTACATAATGAAATTACAGGTTTGACTTTAAAAACAACAACATTATTCTGAATTGCTTAGAAAAGATTAAAAAATGACAAAGGAATACTGGAAATGGGAAGATCAAGTTATTGAGTTACACTGGGAAAATGCTACACGTTTACAAATTGCAAACACCACGGAACACATTACTCCATTAAGTATGGAAGCTGGATAAGTCAGCGGACAGTTTCCTCAGTTCTGAAAACATGAGATGTTCACTGCACTAAATACTACATGAGACACAGCACTTCCCCCGCCCCTTCAATTTTGGTGTAGTGGTTAATTACGTGGACTTTAATCCGGGAGAGCCGGGTTTGATTCCCCACTCCTCCACATGCAGCCTGCTGGGTGACCTTGGGTCAGTCACAAGTTCTCTCAGAGCCAGTGTTCCCTCTAAGCTGAGTGAGTGTGAGCTAGCTCACAGTTTTCTAGCTTCCGGCTCACACATTTTTGCCTTAGCTCGGGAAGGATGGCTCCAGAGCAAACTAATTTATGCAGCAGCCAAATGCCAGTCGCTCACAAAGTAGAATTTTTGCTTAAAGACTCCACAGCTGACAGGGAGCATTGCTCAGAGCTGTTCTCTCAAGAGCAGTCCTCGAGAGAGCTCTCTCGGCCCCGCCCACCCCACAGGGTGTCTGTCTGTTGTAGGGGGAGGAAGGGAAGGACACTGAGACTCCGAGTGAGCGGCTCTGAGACTCCGAGTGAAGAGTGGCGTATAAAGCCAATCTCTTCTTTTCTTCTTCTTCTTCTTCAAGCTTAGGCTTTTTGAGGAAGCCTACTTGACCCGGATGGCCGAGGTTAGCCAATCTCATCAGATCTCAAACACTAAGCAGGATGGGCCCTGGGTAGTATTTAGATGGGAGACCACCAAGGAATTCCAGGACCTCTACAGAGAGGTAGGCAATGGCAGTCCACCTCTGTTCATCTTGTCTTGCAAACACTACAGAGGTCACCATAAGTTGTCCGTGACTTGATGGCATTTTCCACGACCGCACAATAAGGGGACTTTACTTGTCCATGATTAACTATCAATGACTATTCGCACAGGTAGCCATTCTATCTGTCTTTCGGCTGACCTGTTTTCCCCTGGGACAGGTGAATAATGGTCTAGGCCTCCAGTTATGAAGACAGATCAAGATGGGTAGCCGTGTGAGGCCGTCTGCAGCAGTATAAAAGAGCAAGAGTCCAGGTACACCTTAAATCAGGGATGTCAAACATGCAGCCCTGGGGGCCGGATTAGGCCCCCGGAGGGCTTCTATGAGGCCTGCAGTGGCACTGGCTGTCTTCTGTTGCTTCTTTCAGTTCTGCAGCTGCTGCTGCGTCATCGTAGGTTTGCAGCTTACAGATACACGCCTGAACAGCAGACTCAAGATTGCAACAGCACAGACATTCTGATGCAATAATTCAGAGCAAGAGGTGTCAGTGATCAGACACTGTTAAATAAACAAAATATTGCAAGAGTGCTGATGTTTTAAGCATGTTTTTATTTTAAGTTAAAAGAAAACCTTCGTGTTTGTGTCCTTTATAAAGTTTACATCTCTGCTACCTGGCATTACATTTCATGGCACACATGGTCGGCCCAACAAGGTCTCATTTATGTCAGATCCGGCCCTCGTAACAAATGAGTTTGACACCCGTGGCTTAAAGACTAACAATATTTGTGGCCGGGGAGGAGCTTTCATGAGTGTCTGCTCACTTCTTCAGATCAGAAGTTATGAAGACTGCATGTAACCACACAGTAGGGCTGGGAAAATTGATGCCTTGAGAAATGTAGTGCTTCAAAGGTCACCTGATAAGGCTCAGTGACATAGAAATCCTTAAGACAAACAAGAACTCATATAGGCAGGGGTCTTTTGGGGCCGGAGCACGCCGGAGCGCAGGAGTTGGCAAAATGATGGTGGCAGCAAGCCCCGCACCCAGCTTCCCACGCTACGGCCCATTGCTGCCTTCCCGGGACCCGCACCAGAACACTGTGGCCCTGGGGAGGCCGGAGGAGGCCCATCGCTGCTTTCCCAGGGCTCGCGCAAGAGCGCTGCGGCCCCAGGGAGGCTGGAGGAGGCCCGTCACCACCCCCCGGGGCCCACCCTGGAGCGCTGCGGCCCGGGGGAGGCCAGAAGAGGCCCCCCGCCGCCTCCCAGGGTAAGTGAGGGATCTGCGGGGGTGGCAGAGGCTTGATTGGGGG